TATTTCATTGCCTTTCTTTGGGGAATTCACAATGGCCAGGTGTGGTGCCTTCCATCACTATGAGGCATCTATCTTGTTATAATTGTTGTGTCAGAGCATCAGAACCAATCAATAAATCAATCGATAAGTATTTTTGACTTGTAATCTCTGCCCCTGGGTCAGGCCGACATTGGTGACTCATTTGAGTTTGGGGATTCTGACGTAAGGCTAAAGCTGATCAGATTTCCACATTAAGTCTGGCACTAATATGGTGAGCACCCAGCAATGGAAGACCATTAGGCTGCCTAAGGAGGCATGGATTGGCCCATATTGGAAAAACAAAGCAAGTTAAAGCTTCTATGCCAATCAGCATTAGGATTGGGCCACTGTATTTCCAGCTTGGGTAAAATAGGGAGATCTACTCTCAAATAAAGAAAAGAAAAGAAAAAAGTTTTTATTAATAGTGTAATGAAAAATTTCCCATCTTTCCACCTGTCATGGCCCTGTATCCAATAACTAATGGATTCTAGGACCTTTGACACAAGTCATTGTCAAAGATGTCACTAAGCCTGTGATACTTGCAGCTATATGGTTCAGTAGATAGAACACTGGACCTGAACTCAGGAAAATCTGAATTCAAATCTAGCCCTCAACACTTACAAGCTGTATGATCTTGGACAAGTCACTTAACCACTGCCTGCCTCAGTTTCCTCATCCATAAAATGCTGATAATAATAGTATTTATTTTTAAGGATGGTTGTAAAGATAGAATGATAGAATGAGATAATATTTGTGAAAAGCTTTGCAAACCTTAAAGCACTATGTAAGTATATTAGTATTGGTAACAAAACACAACTGATGCACACAGCCAGGGATGCACACAAACCAGGGGTGCACACAAACCAGGGGAACACAGCCACCCAGGTAACCAGAACCACATTGCTGTGCCATGAATTGGTCTCACTGGCTCTTTTGCTCTCCCTCCTCCCAATACAATCAGTTATAGTCATTGTATAAGTGTCACTTTAGGGGAAAAAAAACCCAGTAAAGAGGCCTGAGTTCTCTGTACTTTTAACTACTGCATACAGACGGTGAGAAGGAGAGAGAGAAAGGAGGGAGCTGGTGTCCTTATGAGGGCTTTTGGCAGCAGCTCATCTTATGCCCCACAGGTCAACAGCTCTGCCACTCTTCTTATGAGGATGCTTAACAAATAATCTTGACTTTTATCTCTTCATTTTAGTTGAAGTCTCAGGCAATGTTCCCCTTCAAAACTAAAACAAAACAAATGAAAAAATGTTTACTTGTCCATCTTAACAGATAAGATTTCCATTAGCTTTTGTACTTAAAGGTCTGGTGTTCATTATAATCTAGAAGGTGAAAAAGTTAGGGGTAAGAATTGTGCTTCCCCCCACCCTCCCTCTCCTCCTTCACTTAAGGAGCCCTTGAGTAGTTTGGGTAGACTTAAGAAACTTCAGCCACTTTTATTGTGTCAGTTGGTTGTGATGATATCTTGGTCACATTTTGTGACTGGGTCTGGTGGCTTTCCCTTTGGGAGAAACCATGTCTTTTCAGTCAAATGCCCTCTGGTCCCAAGAAGAAAATGATGTGCCCTCCTGGACAAGTTGCATAACCTACTAATGATGCTGGTCAGTGTCACCTAGTGCCAGTCGTTAGCTCTTTGAGTTTGCATTGTCCTTTCTTGTGTAGTCTTTGCAACTTCGGTTGGAAATGACCAGAGAGCCTGTTTTTGGGGTCCTTCAGCAAGTGTGGTCTTCAAGTTCTCACTACCTCAGTTGGGAGTGAGCCCTTTGATCCATTATATTTAGCTCAGTGTTATTTTGATTTACTAACTATAACATGAGAATGCCTTTCCATTTGAAATGGTGTGGGTGGGCATTAACTGATATTGGTCCTGGAGAATAGATTGGAAACCTGTCACATTTATCTCAGCAGAGAGGTTAGGGAAAGAAGGGGGAAGGTGGAGGACCACTGAGGTTGGAGCTTTCAGGCATTATCAGGTGCAATTACAGTAGCAGGGATTTTTGTTTAGGTGCTTTTCTATGTTTAAGGAAGCCCCATTTTAGGTTAGGGGTGATGGGATATATCCAGAAATGACGACAACAGCAGTGGCGATGATGATTATGATGATAGCTAGCATTCACATATCACCTTAAGGTTTGCAAAGAGCTTTATGAATAGATGTAAAGACAAAAGACACCAAATACATTTTAATTTAAAACAGGAATAGGGACTAGACCTGTGATTACATTTATATAGGAACTTCCAAATGAGGAAACCTCTTTTACTAGTGCAGGTTGATACTTCCTTTTCAGCTTCATCTTAAAACAGTTATTTTTTTAAAAAAGCAGTATTTGTTCAAATGATGATTATCAACCTGGGTCAACTTTCAGCTCAGGAATCTATTCTAAGTGAAATTGTCTTTGGGACATCTAGCACTGAATGCTTATGCCTTGCTGGCTGGTTGGTGGTTGTCCTTTGTTCTCGAAGAGGACCCAAATGACATCACCATGCTAGAGTCAAGTTACGGTGTGTCTGACTGTCATTGATCCAACCAAGATGATCTCAGAATGTCCTACCACAGTTCAGGCACAGATAGTCCATGTGAACCTTTAGGGTGGATTCTTTAATGTGTGTGTCTCGCGTTTCTTTTGAGCTACTTCAATTCTGCTTTGCTCATAGAGGACAGCACCTTCTCTCATGAGGGCACGCCATGCTGAGCTGTCCTGTGCTAGTGCCTCCCATGTCACTCAATCAATTCCAAAATTCTTAAGAGAGGCATTGAGAGGTCCCAAAGGGAAGGAAAGAATCCTATGCTTTAATTCCAGAATTCTCTATTTAGTTCAAGTATCATCCTGGGGAAAAGGGAGAATCAGCCTACCCACACACCAGCTATAATAATTTCTTCTCTCTCTCCTCTCCTGTCTATATCTCATTCCATCCATCCATCCACCCATTCAAACAAGAAAGACCAGATCTGAGATTTTCTCAGTGTTCAGAGCTTTTTATGAAGAGCTTCCTCCTCCAATGTGGATCAGCTATTTCTCTGCCTCTAGTCTTATAGAGATGTCTGATCCCACTGAGAGGTTAAGTGAGTTGCTTGGTGCCCATAGCTAATACATATTTGTATTAGAGGACCCAAGTCTTCCTGACCTTATGACCTGCTGCTTTTCAGGAATAATAATAACTTACATTTATGTAATCTTTTAGGGCCACACATTTCCTCACAACGGCCCCGATGAGGCAGACAGTGAAAGAATTGTTATCTCTGTTTTACAGATGTGGAAACTGAGAACTAAGTTAAGTGACTTGCCCAAAGTCACACACTTTGCAAGTGGTTGAACTAGGACTCACTCAAACCCAAGCTCTCCAGTTTCAAATCTAGCATTCTTTCTTCCATACTCTGCTAAATTTTGATATAAGCCAGATTATAAGGAGTCCCTTACCTCCTGAGTGTAATGGAAGTAGCTGAGTCAGTGGACCCTGCAGGGGATACTGGGTGTGTTTCCCATTGAATTATGTTTCCTTTGAATTCTCTCTCCTTTGGAGGTTCTTTTTTGAGGAATGTGCCAGCTTGCCCTTCTCAGCATTACTGGGTTCAAGTGAAATAGACATCAAGGTAATCATTGGAAAACAGTTTCCTGGGGCAGCTAGATGGCACAGTGGATAGAGCACTAGGCCTGGAGTCAGGAGGACATGAGTCCAAATGTGGCCTCAGACCTGACACTTGACACTTACTAGCTAGCTGTGTGACCCTGGGCAAGTCACTGAACCCCAATTGCCTTACAAAAAAAAAAAACAACCAAACAAACAAAAAAACAACACACAAACCAAAAAAAGAAAGAAAACAGTTTCCTATGCAGCATCAGATTTCCTGGAAATTTTTCACACCGTAGAGATCTATGTGACCTGGGCAAGTCAATTAACCCCTCCTAAGCCTCAGTTTTCTCTTTTGTAAAATGTGGAGTTGGGGGTGGGACCAATGCCTACTCTCTAAGGTCTTTATTATGTCAAAGAGCATACATGGAGACACTAATGGCAAGAATCCGGCAGAAGAGAATGACTCTTGCTAAATTGTAATTGTTTCTAACTACCGGTCCTAATTTGGAAAAACAAAGAAACAAACATCTCCTTCCTGTCTGTCTGAGTTGTTTGTCAATTTCATTGTAAGCTTTGTACCCATAGTGTTCAGCTGATGGACCCACTCTCCTACCTGTTTAGTAACTCATTTGTACTTCTGTCCTATGAAGTAATTCCTGTGTCAATATTTCTGTGATAAATTTGCCCTTTGGTAAAGGATGCGAACATCTACGGTCATATTAGAAATGAAGAGACCTTAGAGGTCATAAGTCCTGTGTTCTAGTGTATGGATGAACATGGTTTGGAATTTTTTGGGGGGTGGTAGTGGTGGAGGTGCTGCAGTTTTTGTTATTTAGGTCGGACCCATGACAGAAAAATCATTCTAGCAGAGTTTAAAGTCTCTCTTGCACATTCTTTCCTCTTAGAAATGTTCGTGAACTCTTAAATATGATATACTCTTATTAAATTTCTTTATTGGTACTAAATATAGGGGATAAATGTTTTGTGATCTACATGTCTGAAACCATGGGAAGACCTTAGCCAATAGGCATAGTTTAAAAAGTCTGACCTTCCCAACCCCAGTGATTATTCACTGGATCTGAAACATTCTGTACAGAACGGTGTAAAATGAGTAGGAAGTTGCAATGCCTGTTTCAAAACTAGGTTTACGCAACATTGAACCTGATTTACAATTTTGAAAATACATTCAGGTTGCATCTGTAGTTGCAGGTAAATTTCTTTGACAGTTGCCTCTTTATTACTTTATCCATTATTTAGGAAAAGAAACAAAAATTGGCATGTTACTTAGCTTGCTCAGTATTTGTAATGTTAGTGGCTACATATGCTCATATTATGGGCTTGGAATTTATCCTAAAGCAAGTGGGGTAGCCCAGCATCCTAATTTAAATTTTTTTTTCTTACAGGAATCAGAGAATACTAAGTTATGTTCCCTCTATTCCTTCCGAAATACCTCTACCTCACCACACAAGCCTGACGACGGGGGTCGGGACCGAGAGATAATGACCAGCGTCACTTTTGGAACGCCAGAGCGCCGCAAAGGGAGCTTGGCAGACGTAGTGGACACATTGAAACAGAAGAAGTTGGAAGAGATGACCCGGACTGAGCAGGAGGGTATGTATGGAATAAGACTGGGACAGCTTCTTCTTTTTTTCTTCTTCTTCTGAAGATTCCAGGCCTTAAAAAAATGTGTGGGATTTCAAGTGCCAGAGAAGTGCATAATTGGCAATAGTTGGGAAAAAAAAAAGTTATTCAGAGGTTACCATGGTGATGGCAGATTGTGATCCATTAGGAGTGTTAAGCAGATAGCTCTGTTTTTCAAAAAACTTTCTGCTTTTTTTATGTTGTGCTTATGATAACAAAGTGAGAGTTTAAAGCCTCACCCTTTAAAAAAGTTACTTTGGAAATTTTTCTAGCTGAAATTTTTTTCTTTTTTCCCATTTATATCTCTTTCTTTCTCAAAAGTTATTTTTATTTTGGGGAAAAATCAGATTTCAAAAAATTAAATAAAACCTCTACAAATTGATTTGTCTTCATCCCAGGAACTCCTTATTTTAGTTACCTCCAACTTTGATAATTTTTAAGTCCTGGCATGTCTTGGGAAAACTCCCCATCCACTGAAGGGTCCATTCAATTCTAACCTAATTAATCCTTGAGGTTCAGAGGATCAAATGAAACTAACCAGCTTTTGCAGAATCGCAGAATTTCAGAATCAGGTGAGAGTAATTAAAAAAAATGCTCCAACCATAAAACAAACACGGGTATCTTCGTTATGTATGATATACCAGTATACTGGTAGTATAGCATAATAGATAGAGCAGTGACTGGCTTTGGAGTTAGAAGATGTAGGTACATATCCCAACTCTACTAACTTTTTCCTCTGTGATCTTTGGGGAAGTCACATGACCTCTCTAGGTCAATAAGCTTTGGGCTTATTGCTAGTCATTTAAGTTCATTTATACATCATTGCCCAGTGAGCGTTCCATGAAAGGAAATTTTGCAGAACCTTACCCCTTTTTGTGCCCAACTTTTAACAATTTTTTTTGTGGAAATCTTTCTAAAATGTGTCACATACTCTCCTGCCTTAATAAGTACTTAATATTGAACCTAAAACTAATCCTTTCTTGGCAACTCAGGATCATTCTTATAAGTTGTTGTTTGTCCTTCATTCTTGACGAGGACCATGACATCATGGAGGTGATGCCATGACATGCAAGTGAATGTGTATCCTTATGAGTATCAGTTATTGGACTGGTCTGCAGTGCAGTGTGGGCCTGTTCACTCTTGCACGAAATGGCCCCAGACTGCTGTGCTCTCATTTTTCTGTTTTCTCATTTCCTATTAGATCTCCAGCTTTAACTTCTTGTAATTTTCAGTGTACTTACCTTGACTAGCACCTCTCCCCTGCTTCTAATTTGCTTGTTTCTATTTCACTGTGGGCTGGAAGATCAGGTAACTGTACTCATTAAAATTGTGTATAAAATGAATACAAACAAGCTCTGAGAGCCTAAGGCTGAAGCATGAGAAGGTGATGAACCTCTGTGCTCGAAAATAAGTCTTAAGATTCTGGGCACTAAAGCTGCTTGATTCTTGGCTGAGTTGAAGGGAGCTGAGGTTTCCAGATCAATGATCTCTGGACAAGTGATATATTAATGTCTTTCCTTCCTTCCTGCCTGCCTTCCTTTCTTCCTTTCTTTTTCTTCAGTTGCCATTGAAAGAATATTTTAATTCTCCAGAACTTCAGCTATTTAAAAAATAAACAAACAGTTTTATGATTAGAATTTCCTACCACTAGGGATGGTCTTCTCAGTATTTTCCCTAGTGTGAGAAGTGGTGACTTTTCTGTCCTCCCTCTTCATTAGTGTAGACTATAGTTGATTTGGTATGAGAGAGGTTCTTGCATGAGTAAGAAGAGCTTACTCTTGGATGAATTTAAGAGTCTCCCATCACTGTATTCCTATCAGAGAAGAAAAAGGTTTTTTGTTAAAATATAGTTTATGTAACTATATTTTCATGGCACAGATTTTAGACCTCAAAAATTAAGATATTTTAATATGTGTTAATGAAAAGAAAGGCAGCTAGGTGGAGCAGTAATTAGAGCACTAGGCTTGGAGTCAGGGAGACCTGAGTTCAAATCCAGCCACAGATATTTACTAGCTGTGTGACCCTGGGCAAGACCCTGTTTGCCTTGGTTTCTTCATCTGTAAAATGAGCTGGAGAAGGAAATGGCAAACCACTCCAGTATCTTTGCCAAGAAAATCCCAAATGGGGTCACAAAGAGTTGGGCACAACTGAAACTACTGAACAACAACAACGACATATAAAGAAATACATAAATACATAAAGAAATACATAGTTTCCCCTTTATGGGACTCAGTGTCATTCTTATGGAACTTATCACATCCTATTTTGTATTATGGTTACTTTTGTATTCTTTTTATTTGTCTTATCTTCACTACGTGACTTTAAGTGTCTTGAGGGCAGGAATTGAGCTTTTTAGGTCTTTGTATGCTCCTATAAACCTTGCACGTGACAGACAGTTGACATAAATATTTGTTAAATTATTGGAAGAGGAGAATTAATAGGGTATCAGAAGATATGCCTATACCACTTCAGCAAAATGTTGATCCTCCCCAAAAGTTCTGCCCTTTTTTGTTTCCCATTTGCCTTTGCTCCTTTGTTTGCATTTTGTTTTGTAATTGTTGAAAGTTACTCTTTTTTTTTTTTGAAACAGACTAGAAGTGTAATGTTCCCTTATGTGTGCACTAACACTAACAGCAACCATTTAATGTATCAAGCAAGGTGGATAAAAGAGTGTTGGGGCTGGAGGCACCTTAGAGATCCTTGAGCTCCGAACCTTCATTTTCTAGATGGAGAAGGGATTATTTACAGGGACTGTCTTCAAAACTCCTGACTTTAGTACATAGTTGACTATAGCATTCTTTCTCTCAAGAGGGAATAAACTAGGGCTTGGAATTAGACGACCTAGTTTTCTGTCTAGGTTCTGCTAATTTGCTTGCGATGTGACTTTGGACAAGTCACTTCTCCTTTCTGACTCTCTGTTTTGTTTTTTGTTTGTTTGTTTTTGTTTTTGTCTTTTTTTGGTTGAGTCATTTCAGTCATATCTGACTCTTGTGACTTCATTTGGGGTTTTCTTGGCAAAGATACCGGCCATTTCCTTCTCCAGGTCATTTTACAGATGAGGAAGCTGAGGCAAGCAGGATTAAGTAACTTGTCCAGGGTCACACAGCTAGCATCTGATGCCAGACCAGAACTCAGGTCCTCTTGACTCCAGGGCTGGCACTCTACCCACTGCACCACCTAGGTGTTCTGTGCAGGACTAGATCTATCTTTAAGATTCCTTCCTACTCTAAATCCTTTGAATTTCCAGACTGAAAGAAATAGTTTTGATAAATCAACCCATTATTCAGTGGTTAGCTAGTTAGTTTTCTCTTCTAGAAATGACCTCCTCAAATCAGCATCTTTTAATGGTATTAGGCAAATGAGTTAACCCTAATCCAATAAACATCTATTAAGAACCTTCTATGTGCTAGGTACAAGAGTTACAGAGACAAATATCCGTCAGATCTTTCTCCAAGAAGCTTATATTCTACAGGAGGTGGGTGGTAGGTATGGTATTCAAACACAAAGCTATATATAAAATAAATACGAAGTTATTTGAAGGAGACATATCAACACTGTGTGTGTGTGTGTGTGTGTGTGTGTGTGTGTGTGTGTGTGTGTCTTGGGGGAAGGCACTCAGGTGTAGATGGAGCTGGGCTTTGAAGGAAACAAGGAACGCTAAGAGGCAGATGTTATTAGCAAAGAGTGCACTCCAGATTTAGAAGAGACCACCCATGCATGGGTGGGAGAGGGAATGGGTAAATTTCAAGACAGAGTTGTCTAGTGGTTAGAGCACTAGACCTGGAGTCAGGAAACTTGGGCAGCCTTCCTGCCTGAGACACCTCATAGCTGTGTGACCCTGGGCAAGTCACTAAGTGAGGATTACTAATCCTTGCACTACCGACCTCACACGCTTGTTCCTCCTGGAGGCGTTTTTCTTGGAAGGCAACAGTTCCCTTGGCAGCAGGCTGGTGCCTAGAGCTGCCCAGTAGTGAGGTTCAGCGTAAGCCTGATCTTGTCTTGAATAGGAACCTAATGCAGACAATTTAAATTCTTCTGTGACAAGAAAGAAAGAAAGAAAGAAAAAAATCTAACTTTTAAAGCAGCTGTTAGTCTAGTCAAGTTGGTTGGGGTGGGCAGCAAGGCTCTGATTGAGAGCTCCAGGTTAAAATCCTTCTAGTCTCAAACCCTTCAGCTGTGATTAAGTGATGCATTTTCGTTCTCCTTGTATTGCCTGCTCTTGTTCTCAGTGTAGCTGGGCCCTATCATAAGCAGCACTTGTCAGAAAATGAGTACTTTTAAAAAGACTTTTTTATGTCTAAATACATATATTTAATCAGAGGGTCCTTTGGCTTCTGAAAATAAGTTGTCTAATGAGAATTTCATCTGAGCAGCTGCGACTGAGGAGGTCAACAGACATTGCCTAGGAGAATATGGCCCAGCTGGTTAAATCTGGTTGATGGTCAAGTGCTTCTTGTAATCCAGGACCGTCTGTTTGTAAAGAGAAGAGTGAGTGCTGCAGCATAATGTACAGCTGTTTTAATCTCTCTTTAATAATAGTTCTCCCAGCCAATGTCATGTCTTGTATATTATATCACCAAAAAATCTCATCCTGGTCAGGGTGAATTCTCCTCTGGGTCAGGTTCTGGAGTTTGGGGCAAAGGGCACAAAATACATTATGCCTCACCTCATTAGCGACAGGCACAATTTTGCTGTTCATTATTAATTGCCTCTGCAATGAAACTGTACCTTTCAACAGGCTGCTTCTCCTTCTGTCATCGCTAAGACGTGGCAAGGGCTGGGGGACGGAGTTAAGGAGAAGCAGGAGCCCTATCAATACCAACATTAAACCTCACAGAGAATGTTTGAGTGGGAGATTTCGGTCCAGCTTGGCAGGGAGGGCTGAGATGAGAACATTTGTCCGGTAGAGTTTTGGGCTCAGAGTTGCTGTGATAATGAAACTGTTTGGATTCATTTCAATATTCTTGTTG